AATGGCAGATCACATTGTTGACGTAACATTTATTCAACAAATACTCACTTAAGCAATTATACCACATGCGTCCAGATTGTTTTAATCCGTAAAGTGATCGCTGTAATTTGATCGCACACATCTCTTTAGATGTTGATCTTAATGATTCCGGCATTTTTAATCCCTTAGGGATTTTCATGTATATATCATCTTCCAGTGATCCATATAGATATGATGTCACAACATCCATCAGATACATGTCTAAATTCATGGATGCTGCTAGACTCATTAAGAATCTGAATGTTATTGTATCCATTACCGGAAAATATGTTTCTTCATAATCAATTCCCGATCTTTGAGAAAAACCTTGAGCCAAAAGTCTCGATTTATACTTTGTGACCTCATTTTTCTCATTTCTCTTTCTTACAAACACCCATTTGTATCCAACGGGCATTACATGCTCTGGTGTTGTGAAAATAGGTCCAAAAACTTTTCTTTTATTCAAGGAGAATAATTCTGTTACAATGGCCATTTTCTATTTCTCCCAATCATGTCTTTTCTGATATTCTAATATAGACCTTGGATCTGGATCATCTCTTTCACGCTCTTTAGATACAGAAAAAGAGAATATTCCATCAATATCTTTTATTTTATCTCTGATCTATAATTCTCCATTTTGGGCGTAATTGATGGAAATCTCATATTTTCTGTTTCACATTCGTCTCCAAGACGAATCTCTTTATCTGGTTCTTCTAGAACCTTTTCACAAATGTCTTCAGGACATTTTTCTTTAAATGGTTCTTCCAGAACCTTTTTACGTTGTTCTCTCATATTCTTTTTCTTTCGGGGAATTTTATCTTTAGAACCCATCGGTCTCGCCCTCTTCAACTGAACCCTAGGTTCATTTGATATGTTCAAATCAATATGTTCTTCAGGAACACTAATTCTGGATGGAACATTTTCTGCGGGGATATATGACTTTGTCACCTTTTTCGTATCTGTGAACGCATCTGGTAACTGGTTTGCCATATTTTGCATATGTACAATTTTCTGAACTTCCATCTCACGTTGATTGGTAGGAGGATCAAGATAAGCCAAAGATTTTGTACACCAAGTGATATCTTTTGGTGATTCTCTCAATCCTCCCCTAACGCGGGAAATTCATCTTCATTAAAATGGCAATCGGCCAAACGTGCCGTAAACATATCACCAGTTACTGGTTCAAGATACCTGATTATACTCAGTGACGTATAACCGATGTATATTCTCAATCTTTTTTGTGGTCTCATTTTTGTTCTTTGGGGTGGCGTTATAGGGGCATAGACCGCACACCCAAACACACGAAATGGGATATATTTGGCTCATGTCCAGATATCAATTGTAATGGAGAGTACTCATTATATGCACTTGGCCGTATCTGGATCAGGGCCGCTGCATGCAAAATAGCATGTCCCCAAACATTAATTGGGAGCCTTGTTCTCAATATTAACGGCCTTGCAATCCATTGCAACCGTTTAATTAATGACTCAGCAATGCCATTTTGTGTATGAACATGCGGAACCGGATGCTCAACATCGATTCCCAATGACATACAATAATCATTAAACACTTGTGAAGTGAATTCACCAGCGTTATCCACCCTTACTTTCTTTATAACATAATCAAGGAATTGCACTCTCAACCTGATTATTTGGGTAATGAATTTAGCGAAAGCCATATTTCGTGTGGTCAATAGACACATATGTGACCATCTACTAGATGCGTTAATCAAAACCATAAAATATCTAAACAGTCCGCATTGTGGGTGGATCAGTCCATATATATCACCATGTATTCTTTCCAAAAATTCTGGTGATTCATTCCCAATTTTGGCTGGTGATGGCCGAGTTACGAGTTTTCCTTGAGAACAAGCATTACATAAAAACTCGCCCATTTGTAATATTTTCCCGTTTTTCAACGGATGGCCATTAGAATTTTTCACAATCTTTCTCATCATGACTGAACCATGATGGCCTAATCTTTCATGCCAAACTTTAAAAGTACTAGTAAACTTCTGGTTTACTGTAATATATTATTCAGTCATGTTTATTTTTGTGCAATATAATCCAGAGGATAACATTTTCAATTCTTCCAAAATATGTTTCCTCTCTGATGTAATGCAAAGATATTCAATGTCATTTTTATTCATAGTCTCTATATGATATCTATTTCCACGGATATCTTTGAAACTTAATAAGTTTCTGTAAGACTTTGGGGAATATAATGCATCATTTATCTCAAACTTTGTTCCCCTTGGCATTGAAAAACTGAATCTTCTAGAGCTTATAATAATTTTTGCATTACCAGATATAGTCTTCACGCTTTCAGTGGAATTGTTTATTTTGAGATTGGAGAAATACTTTTTATCCCTAATAATCGTGTGCGTTGTAGCACTGTCTGCCAGACATATTTCTCCATCCATAGTCTCAAATTCTGGTATTTTCTGAATTTAAAATATTCTTAAAAGATGTATTAATAAATATTAAACACATACCTGGCAATACAACTTATGATACAATAGAACCTACAGCAAAAACATTCAAAGCAAAAGCATATAATACATCAAAACCATTAAACTTTTGTCTTTTAACATTCCAACCATTATCCTTTTCTTTCATTAAATTTGTCTGTCACACTTACTGTAAGTGGATTACTCAACATTCTCCCCTAGGAATGGATTTAATTTAGTTGGACAAAACTGATGATTTCTCATCACAAGTTTATTATATTATTAAGCTACCAGGAGGATTTACATCAACTCCAAGCTTTGGGTGAATTCTCTCACCTGGAGATTCAACCATTTATTTTCTATGATCTTCAGGATCTTTACTCGTGATGGATTTATCATTTAAACCATCATAGATATAGTGGCGTAAAAAGATCATGATATTTGCCTTATTTCATCAAATATCGTTTCCGATATATCGATAGTGCTCAAGAGATCATTTTTCTCTAGATGCAACTTTTCACCTACCGCCCAAGACATATAATTCTTTCCACACAAGTCAAGGGTGGCGATCTCGAGCTTTGACAAATTATTACTCAATAACAAAAGCTTAATTCGTTAGATTAAAAATTTAAGCATAGTAACGACATAATAAATGACAATAATTAAAAGCAATATGAGGAGGCAGAGCCTACCATACAATTACCGATTGCATAAATAAACAAATGAACAAAGATAGAGAGTTTTGATCACCCACACAATAAATAAATAAATTAATTAATTAATTAATGAACAAATAAATAAAGATGGAGTTTTAATCTCCTACTTAATGATCCAAGGAGATATAGTCTACCATGTGATCATTTATATCGTGAAGGCATAGCCTACCATAACTATCTGCTCGGAGGAGGCATAACTTACCATCCCGGCATAATAAACAATATAATTATTTGATCGTGGAGGCAGCGCGTACCATAACGATCAGCTCGAAGGAGGCAGCGCCTACCATCCCGGCATCACATATAAACAGAGAAGACAGAATCTATCTTTCCGTAAATAATAAAATTTAAAATTAAATTAAATTAAAATAAATTTTACCTTTCAAATATAAATCTGATTTCAGGATATAAATTAAGAGACGCTGATAACGTATTATAAATTATAATTAAAATTAGAAAGATGTATATAAAGTATTTATCTCTTATAAAGGAACAGAGACATGGGAGAGTAAATGTGAGGAGAAAGTAATTCTTCTTCTTCACTTTCGTATGATAAATGTTGCTACAAATACTCCTTTATATAGGAAAAGACATGAAATATTAAACTGACACACGTATAATAATGCATAAAGACAAAACTAATAAGATAATTATCAACTTATTTTAACATATACATAATTCTGATTTGGATTTATTTGATTTTATTACGTTGTTGGGACGAGAGCAATGCTGTAAGATTAAGTAATTGAATTGAAGCAAACGAACCTTCGTTTTCGAGAGAAAAAAAAATTGTTAAAGAAAAATAATCGTTAAGAGTGCAATTAGTCATATGATTCTTTTTCCATCGTCAGCAATTACGTATGCATTATTTTATCTGATGTTTCCAAATGAATGATGTATTTAAATTTTATATAAACAACATTTTCTTTTCTGAGACGACCATGCATGGTTGATGATTATAAGGTTTTGTATTGAACCAATTTTTTTCGTACTTCAAATCTTGTGTTAGCTGATAAAATATAAAAGTTTCCTTGCACCTCAAGGCTTCGTATTATATGACGGTTATATGACGGTTACTCAGTTTTTAGGCAAAATTGGCTTCTTTTTGTTTTGTAGGTGAACCCAAAAGAAAATGAACATGATTACTAATATTGATTTTCTTCACGTTACAAAAATGGGATTATGCTATTTTATCATATGAAATATTTATTTAACCTTTTACATTTTTATGTTTCTAATAGTAAATCTGTTATATATACAATAACTTTCTTATGATTTATTCTAAAAATATATATATATATATATATTTTAGTTAAAGTGTTTCTGTTATTGTTATTTTTGCAAGCGGAACCTAGAAAATCGATTATAAGTTCCATGAATTGTCTTACAAATATTTAACTAAGTTAACCCGTAACAATATATTATTAAACCGATTGATTATTTCTTATGTTAACATCTGTTAATCGATTTAATGTTCTGTTCTTAAGAAGAATGGATATCTGATCAAATAGACATGGTACCACTTTTAGTAGCTAATCAGTAATCACCCTAATACAAAAGAGTCAAGTAGTACCTCATTGTCACCTAATTAATTAAAAATCTAATCTCCACCTAAACATTGGGATCCTATTAACTTCACTATGGAAACATCACAATTCTCTTTTAATTTTATACAAAATTGCCATTTTCAAATTTAATGAGCAAACAAATTTTCTCCTATATATATACCCCATTGAGACAAAACACCATTACAGAGAAAGAAAGAAAGCTTCACGCTCTTTTGGTTTCTCTCAACTGTGACGAGAGAGAGAACATTAATGGAGAACGAAGATCACTACGCGGCGTCGTTTTGCCCTAGCTTTAGCAGTTACACCGGCGATGGACTCGTTGAAACCGCCGAGCGAGTTCGATTTGAGTTTTCCGATGAACATTCCAACGACGATTTTGAATTTGTCAATCTACGATCGGACTATGAGGCGGCGTCTTTTTCCGGCGATTTCGATTTCGTTTTTCCATTATTCAATCAGACTCTCATACCTTCAAGCCCCGTCGTGAAATCGGACGGAGATAAAGACGAATCATCGCGTGGTGTGCCGGTTACAACTCGGCTGAGAGATCTGTTCCTTCGCGATCTCGAAGATCCGTCGCCGACACAGGTGTATTCATCATCGTCTTCAGACGAAGAGGAGGAAGAGAACGAGTCGAACGGAATCTCGACGCAGAAGAAATCACCAAACGGAGGTTGGAGAAAGAGCAAATCGACGGGATCATCATCAGCATCTTCGTCAACGTCTTCGCGACGGTGGAGAATTAAGGACTTGTTAAAGAGAAGTTACAGCGAAGGGAAACAATCGCTTGGTTTCCAAAATCCGAGTTCCACAAACAGAGACGAATCCTCGAAGAAGAAAGAGAAGGAGAAGGTTTCTGCACATGAGAAGCTTTATCTAAAGAACAGAGCGATGAAGGAAGAAGAAAAGAGAAGATCGTATTTACCATATAAGCAAAATCTCGTTGGGCTTTTCTTCAACTTTCATCATCGTTTCGGGAAAACTATTCCTTCTTCTTGATTCTCCATTTAGGATTCATTAGTGGGCTTTTTAGCTTTTTAAATCCGTTATACCGTGGGCCTATTGTGTGACATTGGGTGGGCTACATATGTTTTGTTGATTTGCTCTAAATTAATGCGAGAAATTACCCGGAAAGTAACGTACTGTAAGTCTGTAATGTTAACCTAGATGGGCATAAAAGAAACAAGACCGAACCAGTGGTCAAACCGGGTTCAACCGTGAAAGTATTTGTGGGTTGGGTTTACAGTAAAACTCAAAAAGAGATAGACCGGTCTAGAAAACCGGATCTGACCAGCAAAAATTCAAAAACCGCTGACCCATTAAACAGTATCAAACCCGGTTATATTATATTTGGTTTTTTTTTTTGTAATAATAAGAATGAATAATTTCTTTAAGAATTTAAAATTCTAATTTGTTGACAAAAAAAATATTCTAATTTAACATTATGATTTCATGAAATTTGTGTTTCTAGTTATGTATGTATTTGTTTTTTGAACTATAGAAATATTTTTTCATCATTGTTATACTTTTAAATTGTTATTTATAAATTTTTTTTTATCAAATATTATGATTATTCAAATGTGTTATTTAATATTTATAAGCTGCTCATAATCATAGAAAATTATAAAATCATATTATATGGTTTATCTGTATCTTTTTTAATACATTATCAAAATTAATCAAACCCGATCGAACCATATTAACATATAATCCAAAAGTTTTTCAGTTTAGTCACCGGTCCGGTTTTAAAAACATTGCAAAAAATGATTGTTAGTACAGCATTATAATGTAATTTTGATAGAATCAAGGACCCTAGAATCATACATGTGAATTTAGTTTTTTTTTTAAATGAAAAACAAATGTACATTCACTCCATTGATCATTTAGATTTATTGAATTCTTGATGATAAAATGAATTTGGGAAAAATTTCTGTGTTTTGGAAAGTTTACGAAGTTTTTTTGGGTCTTTATTTTGGACCCAAAAGAATTAACTAATGCTTTGAATTTCTTTTTGTGTGTTGAATATTTTTTTAGGATTGAGCATCTCCAAAAGACTCTTTATAACTTCAAATATGAAGTTTTTTGCACTCCAAGAGAAACTTCAAAACTTCAAAGTTGAAGTTTAACATTTTTATTTGTATTTCAGTCCCTCTAATTATATATTAATAAATGTTTATATTTTAGTTTTGTTATTTATCACTTTAGTCTATATAATTTAGTATTTCATATATATGTATATATATTTAATTTTTGTATTCAGATTAAATAAAAATCTTAAAATAAATTTAGAATAAATATTACACATTACTATAAATATTTTTTATTACACAACAACAATTATATATAAAGCAAATTTAATACAAAATACAAGAAAATAAATTACATAAACACATAAATATTACACAAATTGAAATACTACAATAATACTAATATTCATTTAATTTTGAAATGCATTGATTAATCAAATATGAAAGAACTATGGAAGTATTTTTTATTAAATAATTTGTTATTTTATTTGTAATTTATAGTTTAGTATGTGTATATTATGTATTTTTATATTATTATATAATATTTTATTGATTATTATTGGTTGTAATCTTTTTATATGTATGTTTTAGTTATTTATAAAAGTTTTTTGATGTTAATTAATTATTATCAATATTGAAGACTATAATGCAAAATATAAATAGTTTTGAAGTTTTTTTTGAAGTTTACCATTGAGAGTAACACCTCCAAACTTCAAATTTAAAGTTTTTCAAACTTCAAATTTAAAGTGTCTCTTGGAGATGCTCTAATAGGGACAATATTAATACCAAAAGAGACAAGTTGAAGAAACTCAGAATTTTAACTTGGGAAACAATCATCTAACAGGACCGGTTCCAGTAGAGATTGGGAGTTTGTCTAAAAGAATGTGATAATGTATTAAAAAATAATCCAACAATCAAACAGAAAAAAGGTACTAAATAAAAGGAGACGGAATCATTTGGCATCATCATCATCACAAGTAAAGATCAGTGCATAGAGCGAGAGTAATGGTTGTCGTTAGGGTTCCGTTTCTGGCTGAAAATCGTCATAGCTTCTCTAACAGGAGGCTGCAATGGTGCATTTCTATCATTGTGATGGTTCATGAACAAATCGTCTGATATGAAGCTCTCATCACCCTGAAAAAACACAAAGGATATTAACAAACCCCAAGAATCAAAGACTACATACAACTTGAGTGTGCATGTACTAACCGGTTTGCTTGCTTTCTTCTTGGTCTTGGGATGGAGATACTTTTGAGGAAGTTGATCTTCCCGTAGAACCATATTCTTGGTGATTGCGTCTCTTCCACTTTTAGGCATTGGTATCGAAAACTGCACAAAGAAAGAAGAAAGACGACGGTTTCTGTTTAAATAGCAGATATGTAACATATAATGAACTGATCATCTATAGATGGCTCTGTTTAACATCAAAATAAGGTTGGTTTTGCTTGGCGACTACTTACTTTGGTCCCTCGTAGTGTAACACGTGGTTTACGCACAGCTATGATGGTGCCATTCTCGCCTATTGTAACCTCTACCTTGCATAAAGTGCCGCCATTACCGCACTTGGGACAGAAGACTCTTAAATTTTCAGGAGTTACTGTGTTGCAAGCATGGCACTGCAAGATCCACCTGAAGATCCAAAACGCAATAAAGTGTAAGAACCATCGTTCTCATGCTAAAGAATTTTGGAGGAATCAAAAAGGAATATCCGATTCATAAAGCGTACCTCTTTAGTTGGTCGATTTGCATACCTCCGGGTGCAACCAAGCGCAAACCCATTTCAAGAATAACATTTTGCATTGCATAGTCAGCGGTTATACAAGCTACACTGGACTCAGATAAGGCTCTCAACGACCAACTCTGATCGATGATGCCTCAAAGGTATCACCAGCCTCACTAGCAACATCCATCCCCTCACCATTCGTCTCTTCCTGGAGTGATTCTTCCTCCAACCTCATATCTTTTAAGATGGACGAAAACTCCTCATCATTCGTTGCATACTTTTCATTAGCGTCTTTAGACATGTGATCAGTTGTGTCCTGTGTCAAGTTACGAGCTTTGTCAGCTTCTTGATCTTGCTGAATTTCTTGCTCAGCCAAAGCATTGTAATGTTCGCACTTGGCCTTTCTCCTAAGGAACTTCCTGTGAGTACTGCTACTAACCGCAGGTCTCCAGTCACCAGTGATATAATACTTGAAATGTGGTTCAAGTAAAGCTTCTTTGAATCTTTGCTTCTAGCTTAAGGGGATGGAAGGATGACTTGAATGGTTGAAAGTCAGGTTGAGCTTGATGACCACAAACTCCAAAGGTTAGATTCTTCTCAGCTCAAGGGCTAATCCTCACAAGAGCTTAGGAGATTCTACACTTCTCACAAGTTCTTTGAATCCCTCAAAAAGAACTTAATAAAAAGCTGAAACAATTTGTATACAAAGAGGTACTTTTCTTTGAAACAAAAAAAACTTTCTTTGATTGATAATTTCGTGGTGATGAAAATACAATGTAATGAGCTTATATAAGGCTCAAATTAATGACATAAAACGGTCATAAACATAAAAGAAAGCATAAAATTTGGTGTAAATCAAAGACTAGCTGTTTTGGCTTTAAGGGGGAAAATGATGGATTTGTTAAGTAGCTTGATTTGGGGGTATGAAGGGGGGAAACGAATCTTGAGTCTTCAGAATGGTTTGAATGGCCAGGATCTCCTCTTATAAATGTGGGGTTGAGATTGAATGGTATAAGTGGTCGTTGGTCAGACTTTCCTTTGAGAACCAAGTAATTGAATCCGAATATGGCAAGTTCTTTCATGGTGATATCTTCTTGGTTTTGAGTTGGTTTGATGGGGTTAATGACTTGGTTTGGTGGTCTTCCTTCTTTGGTAACTCCTTGGGACGCCAAATAATGTGGTTTGACATAAGGTAAGGTCGAGCTTTCCTTAAGTGGTCTTGATAATGCATATGTAGGTCCATTCATGCAATTTGGTGGTTTGGACGGTTTAGCTTGATCCTCTTCCAATTTAAACTGAACCAAGGGTGGTTTGTCTTGTATAATATGTCCTCCTTGATGTATATATCCTCCTTGGTTTGTCACATATTGTGGTAAGTCTTTATCTCCTTGATAAACAGCTACATGTCTCCTTTGCTCCTTATCTACAAGCTTGGCCCCTTCAGGTTTAGCTTCAAGGCTCCTTCTCTTGATTGGTTCAGTGGTGTATGGTTTGATGCTTACATCATACTCTCCCTCTTGAAGAGGTTTTGTCCTCAAAACATTAGTACCTGCATCAAACAAGGCTAAGTTAGTTTCTGAAAAAAAATTAGAGTTTAGAAACTTACCTTGGTGATTGTTCTGTAAATGCTGCAAGAGTTGATTGAATGGGATGTCTTTGGCTTTAGCAAGTTCCAGGGTTGGTGTCAGCTCGTGTGCAGCTGGTCTCTCCTTAACAAACATCAGGTTTTCTCCATTGTTGCTCATGTTCTCCTCTTGCACAATTTGAGTTTCTCCTTCTACTAATGGGACAGTAGTCTTCTCTTCTGGTGGCAAAATTCTTTTGAAAAAATCTTGGGCCACATGTATGGGTTTCTTGCTTGAGGTGGAGATACATCAGGTGGCTTTGGCGCCTTGTAATGTTGGTATGGCTCGTTTGACAAGCTGGTTGCTTCAGCTTTTCTCTTTTCAAGGCGTTCAAGGTGAACATAGCTTTCAGTCCTGAATGCATTGAAGGTTTCAGTCAAGTTGGCAATGGCAGCCAGTATTGCTTGAATAGGGTCAGCTGGTGTATTCTCCATTGTTGTACCTTGCAAAATATTGAAGAAAACAAATCAAAGATATGTTTAAATCAAAGCAAAACAATCAGGATGTGTTTTAAATGAAAGCAAAGTACAAGAACAAGCAATTAATCAGATTTCGACCAGTTGAGGGAGAATGATTGTAAAAATTATCAAATGGATCGAAAATTCAAAAGGAATAATTTTTTGTGGTTTTTAAGAGTTTATTTTAAAAAAAAACAAGAAGAAATTAATTTTTTTGAGTTTTTCTGGATTTTATAAAAATCGAACAAAATGAAGAACACAGAATTAAGCGGTTTTGACAAGTTGAATTGAAAAATCAAAACAAATTATCAAAATATCTGAATAATTTTGGAAAATAATTTTTTTATGTTTTTAAGAGATTAAATAAACTGAAACAAAAAGCAAAAATAATTTTTATAGATTTTTGGATTTTATAAAAGTCTCAGAAGACAGATGAAAATTAAAACAGTTTATTTGTTTTTTTTTTATAAGAAGGAAAACTTTAAAATGAATAAAAATCAAAAACTTGAGAAGGGAACTGAAAAAACCTGGATAAGGAGCTTTTAGCTCTGATACCAATGATGCAATACTTGAAATATGGTTCAAGTAAAGCTTCTTTGAATCTTTGCTTATAGCTTAAGGGGATGGAAGGATGACTTGAATGGTTAAAAATCAGGTTGAGCTTGATGACCACAAAATCCAAAGGTTAAATTCTTCTCAGCTCAAGGGCTAATTCTCACAAGAGCTTAGGAGATTCTACACTTCTCACAAGTTCTTTGAATCCCTCAAAAAGAACTTAATAAAAAGCAGGAACAATTTGTATGCAAAGAGGTACTTTTCTTTGAAACAAAAATAACTTTCTTTGATTGATAATTTCGTGGTGATGAAAATACAATGTAATGAGCTTATATAAGGCTCAAATTAATGACATAAAACGGTCATAAACATAAAAGAAAGCATAAAATTTGGTGTAAATCAAAGACTAGTTGTTTTGGCTTTAAGGGGGAAAATGATGGATTTGTTAAGTAGCTTGATTTGGGGGTATGAAGGGGGGGAACGAATCTTGAGTCTTCAGAATGGTTTGAATGGCCAGGATCTCCTCTTATGAATGTGGGGTTGAGATTGAATGGTATAAGTGGTCGTTGGTCAGTGGTCGTTGGTCAGGCTTTCCTTTGAGAACCAAGTAATTGAATCCGAATATGGCAAGTTCTTTCATGGTGATATCTTCTTGGTTTTGAGTTGGTTTGATGGGGTTAATGACTTGGTTTGGTGGTCTTCCTTCTTTGGTAACTCCTTGGGACGCCAAATAATGTGGTTTGACATAAGGTAAGGTCGAGCTTTCCTTAAGTGGTCTTGATAATGCATATGTAGGTCCATTCATGCAATTTGGTGGTTTGGGCGGTTTAGCTTGATCCTCTTCCAATTTAAACTGAACCAAGGGTGGTTTGTCTTGTATAATATGTCCTCCTTGATGTATATATCCTCCTTGGTTCGTCACATATTGTGGTAAGTCTTTATCTCCTTGATAAACAGCTACATGTCTCCTTTGCTCCTTATCTACAAGCTTGGCCCCTTCAAGTTTAGCTTCAAGGCTCCTTCTCTTGACTGGTTCAGTGGTGTATGTTTTGATGCTTACATCAACCAGCATCTTCATCATCATTTTCGCCACGTGATGCATCTATTCCTTCCACTACCATCTTACCCTCAAGCTTCAACTCTGTTTTCTTGGGCGGGTATCGCTTCTGCCTCCTCTCACCTTCTTGCTCATCCTCTTCTTGATACTTGGCCTCAGGAAGAATATTCATGTTAAGGTCTTTAAGCAGAAGGATTTTGGAGTTGGAGTTCGATTTTCCCTCAGTCTCTCTATCTAATGCTTCCCACTCCTCCAAGTTAGCCACATTTGAGCCCCAACCAGGCAACTCCTTCTCAGGTAATCTCTTCACCCTAACAGTTTGAATCGGTGGAGGAATATCTCTGAGATTTGTTGTGCCATGAACCTGAGCCTCGAGCATATATGTCAAAGCAATCAGTTCGAGATCAGTATCTTTGAGAGTCCGCAAATCACCAGTAGCTCGAGCAAATTCTATAACTGCAAAAAAAAAAAAAAAAAGCCAGTGTCAGAGATGCAAAGATGATCTAGCTGAAAAACTTAGTTGCGAGAATCACTAAAATTGCTCATGTACCTTTTCTGAGAGATTCAGGAGAAGGTTCCATGGTTTCGATAGTGAAGGGCAGTAAGGCGAGACGACGGCGAGAAACACGGTCACGAATCTCGGAGAGTACTTTACGGACGGTTACGAATTTGTCGGCGAAGTTGGTTAAGCATCCGTTAATGACGGCGTTGGTGTCAATAACCGCCACAGATATACCCTTTGTGGATTTGCAGCTTCCAACCATTTCGAGAATCGCTGCCGGAGCTCCATCGGTAGCCGGAGGTTTTGAAGGAGGCTCTTTCTTCACTATGGAGCTCCACATCGTGGTTGGATTCGGATCCATGGTTCGCGTTGGAGTTTGTTTACTTGCCGCTTACGACTGAGATAATAGACGCGGAGAAATAACCTAGGGCTGCTGATTAAAAATTACGTGTTTTGTTCACGTACCTAAAGCCCAAACAAAACTCATCGGTTTGTACCGGATTAATAATATTATTGCATCTGTTTATAAATGGATAAAACCTAAAATATAATTAAGAAAATAAAATTATTTACGTAAATGTTTGGTTTTTTTCAGCCAATCATTTCTTATAAATAAAACTCAACTTCAGGTATAGAGACAAAACTAAGGTATAAACTAACATACAATTTTGTTTCGGACCAAGAAATGAAAAGAATTTAATTCAGGTATAGATGCAAAACTAAGGAATAAACTAACCTACAATTTTGTTTCGGACAACAACTTGTTTTTTTTTTGTTCGTAAAATAAAGGAATTAAAAATCATAATACCCAATGCGATCACGAATTCCACCAACTCACCATTTGCGACTTTTTTTCTTTTTAAGATCTTCACTTTTGGAACAAATGTATTCAAGTCAACCAGAAATGTAACAGTCTTGGCTTCCTCAACTAATTTTCAAATTCGCAACGCACGAGGACTGGTCTTATGACTCTTATCCAATATTACTATGATTTACTAAATTAGTAATTAATAGTCATTCACTTCAAATTACAATGCTAGCCCTAACACTAATCAGCGTAATTAATGTATGAGAGACATGAGAGTAGAAAAATGCAAGTTGGTAATAGATGTTTATGGTACGTGGAATCACAAGGCTTGTATTGTAACAGCTGGATTATCCTTGTTGACCAAAATTATTGACTTTTCATGTTAATTTTTCTGACTACTTGTACAAGCAAAGATTATATTATAGAGATAAAGTTTGATTTTCAGACGTTTATGTTTAAAATATGGGAAATTGTATTCTATCGCCTTACATAATTTGACAATTAGGTAGAAGTAAAAGTTAATTTCTCTCTTTCTAATTAAATAAAAATGTATTTACTTACCTTTCTCTTTTCTTATCAATGATGATGGTGGCGATGGAAGTGAATAAAAATAATAATAAAAAATGAGCGTGGTGGTGATGATAGAATTGTCGGTGATGATGGTGGTGGTGATGATGATCGGTGGTAGTGATGATGTTGTCAATGATAATGGTGGTGGTGATGGTCGATGATAGTGATGATGTTGTCAATGATGGTGGTGATGGAATCACCGGTGGCAGTGGTGATGGTGTTCATAATGGTTGATGGTGGTGGTGATGGAATCTGTAGCATCCGTATTCGAGAAAATGCGGACTGATCGTACCGGACAGGAGGTTGTCCGAGGAACGACCGAGCCAAGGGTCGGATATTGGCTGGAAAAGGAAGGTTCGGACTATGGTCGGATGTGGACCGGTGAAATAGTCGAACATGGGCTGGATAGCCGAGCCGGATGGACCATATCCGAGGGAAATGGGGTCCAGTCCGAGGGAAAATGGGATTTACCCGAGTGAAGTAGGATATATCCGAGAGTCTGGGAGGTTAGTCCGAGTGTCAATGGACTGTCTCGGAGGGGGAATAGGAAACCTCCGAGGGAAAAAGATGATTAGCCGAGGAAGGACAAGTGGTCCGAAGGGAATAGGAAATCCGGATGGAAAAAAATGGAAAACACCTCGGATAAGGGCGGTTTATCCGAGTGGGAAGGGATTTGGGCCGTGGGCCAAGTGTTTGGTCGGCTATTTTGGGGTTTATCGAAGGATGGGTCGAGCCGGTACAGGGAATGGCCGAGAGAATCGAATCGGACCGGGATAAAGTTTACTGGAACCAGGAAAACATCGGATAAGTCCGGGTTACCTAGGGTTTTGCGAGTATTTAAGGGATTTTGAGACTTTTCTCGGGAGAGTTGTGTATATTCGAGAGCAATAAAGCAAAGAAAGAGAATAGTCGAGAGAAAATCCTAAGAAAAACAGTTTATCCCGAGGATATCCGAGAGAGATCAGGCTATCGCCGAGCAGAACCGACCATCGCCGAGATAAACTGGTAAGCGATCGGATATTCCCCTATGTGTTGAGTTTTCATCGGATAACCTCGAGCTAATAGCCTTGTTTTGTTGGGTTTCTGAGGGAAAACAGAGTTTGGCTCGAAGAAAGGTGAACGGATCAAGAGATAGCCAAGGGGATAAGGATCGGATCGTACCGTGAGCCGAGAGATTCTTAGGGAGATCAGATATCTTTGATTTGGAGCGGTTTTCATCGGGATTTCTTCTTACCAATCTGTTTCTAGCCTTGTCTAAGGTGAGTGCGTGAACCCTGGGTCAATACGTGGTGTCTAACTAGCTGTGTGAATGTCCGGATCGAGTTACTGGCTCAAGGGGATGTGTGATTCTCGCTTGGAGCAGTACCGATGCCTTGTGAGGCTTCACAAGTAGCTGAGATGATCATAAGACCGTACTGTTGTGAGTGCGCGACTGTGGTTAGGTCCTAGACCGTAGGGTGACTAGGGTTGAAGGTTCTACATGCTTGATTGATGATTTTCATGTTATGTGTGGTTATGTGTATAAACGGTTAAGTGTTGTGAGATGTTAGGATGTTTACCGAGGCATATATGATGTTTAGCTAACCTCAGGGTAATCCGGATCATGTACTAGCTTAGGAGATGTGGGATTCTCGCTGAAGTAGACATGGGTCTTAAAAAGGGATTGATCTTGGGTGGTTAGGCTAGATCATCAGGGGCCGTTTGATAGTGATGTGTTTATTGTGAATTGATTGTGTGAATGTTGAATCCGAAAGTTTACTGCGTGTTTTGGTACTGACCAGGTGTTACGGGATGACCGTACTCACTAAGTATTTATGAAATACTTATGCCTCTCATTTTGAGTGTGCAGGTACTAAGAATTAAGGGGGGCGAGACCAGGCGGCAGTGATGGATATGGATGGATCGGGGTTGTGTGTTTTATAACTTAAGACTTGTGTTAGGGTCTTGTGGCTTTGGTGTTATTCGTTAGGTTGCTAGATGATCGTTGTATTCATTAGCGAACCTTGTGTTTTTATTCATGTGGAACCCCGAATCTTATTTAGTGCTTTTAAAGATGAATAAATGAGTGTTTTGAGTTATTATATTCCGCTGTGTATTGTTAAAGAATGACTTAGAAAAATAAAGAAAAAGTTCAAAAATATGGCTAAGTATAGAATTGGACTTAGAGGATGTAGTGGGACACAGCCGCGGTACGGTTTACCAGGTTGGGTTACCACAAGTTGGTATCAGAGCGTTTTAACGCTTCTAGGACTAGGAAACTGGTGACTGCTGTTGTTTGTTTGTTTGGGGTTTATGGGGGTCCGATCCATTCTTCACTGCTAAGGTCTCGCGGTAAGTTGTTGTGTGGTGTTGTGAAACACGTTTTGAGTTAGCTTCGGCTAACTGGCATTGTGTACTTGCAGATGGTTAATACCAGAAGAACCGTGAGAATCAATAGGGACAACCAGGCTGAGGGGTCTGTGAACTCAGGCAACGGGAATGTTGCTGAGAGGGCTAGGGAAGCCGAGAGACAAGCAGCTGCGGTTGCAGCTGAGGCGGTTAGAGTGGCAGCCGTGGAAGCAGCAAGGGATGCTGCGGATGCTGAGAACGTGGCTGGGGATGCCGCGGGTGCAGCTGGGATAGCTGAGAATGCAGCTGGGGTTGCTGCGGATGTGGCACCGGTGGGGTTAGAGGCTGTGCTTGGGATGTTAGCATAGGTACTAGCTAGGCTACCTGCGGTGGCTCCTGCTCCGACGGTTGTAGCAGCACCACAAGTAGTACCACAGGTGGGGGTGCAAGCAGATGTGGTTGAGGAGGAAGCGGACCAAGTGGAGAGGGTTCCGAGTTACCTCAAGGTTTTGGACCACATGGTGCGGTTGGGAACCAAGTTCTTCGCTGGAGGTTCTACACCGATTGAGGCTGATGAGTGGAGGATGAGGCTGGAACGGAACTTTGAGTCTATCCGATGTCCAGAGGGTTACAAGAGGGACATTGCAGTGCACTACTTGGAGGGTGATGCACACACGTGGTGGAAAGGCATTGTGGGAAGGCTGGTGAATGCGAATTGTTCCTATGAAACATTCTCAGTGATGTTTAGGAGTAAGTACTTCCCACAGGAAGCTTACAATGAGTTAGAAAAGGCGTTTCTGTACCTTAGTCAGGGGACGCTTACAGTGAGGCAGTATGAGACTCAGTTTAATCAGCTGAGGAAGTATGTGTCACATGAGTTCGACACGGAGGAGAAGCTGATTCGCAGGTTTATGAGTGGACTGCGGGTTGAGCTTAGGAACGGGTGTGTGGTTCGTGACTTCAGGACGGTTGCTGAGCTTGTGGAGAAGGCAGCATTGTTGGAGTCAGGACAGGCAGAAGCTGCGTTGATGTCAGCTGGGGCTAGTACAGCCGTGACCAAGGCGGGTCAGTCTAGTGGACAGAACCGGAGGTTTGGGAAGGGAGTACCGAACAAAGGGTCTGGGGGACGCAGCGTGTGCAGCAAGTGTGGCAAGGCTCACGTTGGTGAGTGTAGGCGCAGTGGTAGGGGATGCCACAGGTGCGGAAGTTTAGAGCATCAGGTGAGAGACTGCCCGGAGGAGGATCAGCGTGTGGTCCGTGTGTCCGGCAGTGATGGTGCGGTTCGGGTTTGCTACGGTTGTGGAGAACCAGGGCATTTCAAGCGTGAGTGTCCCAAGGCAGGAGTGGTGGAGCAGGCCGTGGCTCAAGGGAAGAGAGCAGGGGAGGCGCTTGCATCACAGGCCAAGAGACAGGCCATTATGCCGAGGGTGTACACGACGAGTGCAGCAGCAGCCGAGGAACCGAGCACTTCTCATCCGATTACTGGTACGTGTGGTACTTAGTATTTTCTAAACTTGCATTGCGTGTTGTTGTGTGTTAGTATAGAGTCTTAGCATTCTAGGGAATGAATGTGTAGGGACCTTGCTAATGGGTGAGGTTGAAACCCATGTTCTGTTTGACTCGGGAGCAAGTCATTGTTTTGTTAATCCGGACAT